GTCATATTTATTAAAAAAAAATACGAATCCTTTGAAATGGATCCATTTGGACAAATTGAACTTAACTCTTTGGGACACAGGATTTTATGACCAAAAAGGGACTCTAGTTGCACAGAAATTTTATTTTCAAAAAATGTAGCAAAGTAGGTTTGTTTTATTTATAAACGGTGAATCATGGTGTAAAACGATTCAAACTTAAAAAGAAATGCTTAAATATTTCATTATTGGATGGGACGAATAGTCTCACCGTGAAACTTGTGAAAACAGATCGTTATCTTAATGTTTCAAAGTGGGATGACAAACATCCCACTGTGCATACGTAAGTACTAAAAAGGTGGGACACTTTTTACCCCACTATCCCCCAAAGAGTTAAAGGATTAAACGAGGCAGCGAATTTATTGACCGATCACTAAGTTGCAAGTAGAAACGACCAGTATATGGTCAGACATCGAGCTCTAAGCAACGAGCGACCCATGTTTGGTATCGAAAAAAAGGAAAACACAATCGTAAAATCAGAAACCATTAGACAGATCGTTTCCTAAAATCCATAACTAGCTCAACACACTTGCTGCCACCGACGCAGCATGTGCGGACCAGAATGTATTGCCCAGCATGCTATCGATTTTCCGGTGGCAGCGAACGTGTTAAAGTAGCACGTAGTAACGATAAATCTACAAACTTGAAATTAACTTCGAAACGATGCCTACAATTACACTAATCCTTTTTGGAAGATATGGTCAACAGATCTAGAAGCTTTATTATGTACCCAGATAAATCCGCAGGCGGTCTAAACCTTCTCTGCTCGAGTTTCATTAGGTATACTTGATCCTCGTTCTATGGAAAATCCTCCAATGGCTAATTTTACACCTCCTCTCCGTGTAAATCACGCTTTTGTTCCAAAAAAGAAGGGACCTCGAAACGAGAAGCCTCGAAAAATTTGTTTCTATCAAATTGAAACGAATACCATCGTCTCGAAGTTGTATTTCGCGTATTAGATAGATCAACAACCCGGCGAGATTCGAATTGAAACGGATGTGCACTTCCAACGAATAATTAAAATTTCACCCTCCTCCAACCGATATAAACTCACGCGAATATCTCATTAATAACGTGGCAACTTTTTCTCCTCCCCCCGAAAAAGCAGTTTTCGCTAACTTTTAACGAGCACGTAAAAGCCCACGGAGGCCTTTCTCCGACGTACCTACCGGTGTGTACCGTTGCGTTTCTACGTTGGGTTGGTCGTTTCCACGTTTCTTCATTCGTCACTCGACGCGAACGAGGAGGAGGCTATTCGTGATGATTCACGATATCGTAACGCTTGACCCGATCCCCCGGTGCAATAAAAGATAACGCTTTGGCACGCGGCCGCCTCGATTCTGCTCTTTAACGCCGTCGAAACAAGCCTCGTGAACGATCTCGATACGATACCGTTGGCAATAGCCCGTTGCAAGCTGGTTACGCGGAAACGGGATCAACGAGCCGCCTTTTCTCTTTCTCTCTCCCGCTCTCTCTCTTTCGCTGCGAACGAAAGCGGGTCTAGAGACACGACTCTGCCCGGGCCGAGGTGAAATTGGGCCGATTCTTTATTTCACGACCCTTTGATCTCGCGTGGTTTTGACAGGCTTCAAAGCGGATGACGCGGTGAGTATGCGCAAGATTTTTGCAATGGTCCGTTCCTTTGTCCTGACCCGGGTTTGTATCGTCGATCGGCGAATTATCGATCAGCGTGACAGGCTGTTATGTGTTAAGAATGGAAATTTGATACAGAGCAACGTTGAGTGATACTTATTTCGAATAATGAATTTGCAAGGTAACGAGTTAATTCGAGTTATTCGTTGTTCGAAGTGAATAACGAATACCGAATGAATCGAATTTATTCGTTATTCAAAGTTCTCGAATAAGAGACGAAGAAATTTCTTGTTTCAACGAATCCTAATAAGTTTTACAAAATTTCTCAAATTGCAAAATGGGAATTTTTGTTATCCGCGCTCGAATTGCAAAAACTTTCGATTTCCTTACGGAATTTTTTTAAAAATTTTAAACATTCCAGACATTTGACGTTACTTCTACCAGAATTGCCAACTGTACGAAGGTGTATGCTTTCATTTTTACCGTCTTCCATTCCCCCACAATAAATTATTTAGCTCGGAGTCCTGAAACTTCCGGTACATACTGCATTATTTCACGATCAAAGTGGTGAAACGATGTTTGTTACGGCGGTATATCGAATGTTGTTAATTAATATTTGTAGCAGCTTTGTTTTATTAAGAATCGATACGCAGTTGACACAACGTATCGTTTAATATCTACGATATCGTGTTCTCGTACCGTCGTCTAATATTTGCGTAACGTTAATCTATTCGTCGTATCCAACCGAGAGGGAAATTTAAATTCGTCTGCTCGAGCATTCTTTTTTTTTTAGTAACCCGACAGAAGTACGACGTTCTAAAAGATTGCCTTTTATTCGAACTATTCGGACCGTGGAATTTTATTGCGAATTTATGTTTATTGTCTTTCTCTTGGTTGTCGCGGCAGGGTAACATATTACGGGAGATAAAATGCCCGGTTCTAAGCGGAAAGTTTTATTGCCCCTGAAGCAGAGGCGTCACGGGGGAAATTGAAGTTTAATCAACATGCTGGTAAATGAAAACGATGCTATTTTAAATTCTTCAAAACTGAAAAGAAGATTTCGGATTTTCGAAATTCTCACTCTCACAAGTTCGCGCCGGAAGTGAAAAATGTTTGAATGAAAATCCAAGGAAATTCTATACCGATTGGTAGCGTCCCAAAACGCCGTAGCTCTTCTATGCTTGGAAACGCTGACTTCGCGGCAGGGCGAGTCTTATTTAGAGGAAAGAAATCGAACTAAAACAATTATTGTATTTCTTAGGCGTGTTTTCAATAGAATGCGTTTCTAGGCGTGTCCTCGGTAGAATGCGTGTCGAGGGTGAAAACCTCCGTGCTTTATAGCATGGGGCCGTCCACACCCGACGTGGTAAGTGCGACGCGATACGGAAGACGTCGAGCGATCATCGCTTTTGGCGGCCCATGCGACACAGGACCCAACGCGAGTCCCCTCGAGCCCTCTCGCCTCTGCAACCGCGGTCCCGCTTCGGTTCCTCGCGGGATCCCTTTGTCCGAAGGCCTTATCGCGACATTGCAACACGGTTCCGCGGATGCCATGCGGCTCGGCTACGCACTCGCCCTGCCGGTCCTGCGCCGCGATGCTCGGGACCGAATACCGATGACATAATAGTCTTAACAAAAAAATATGAGAAAATTGTGAAATGAGAAAACGTTTATTATTTTTTTTATCAAATTTAAAGATTTGTTGAAAATATTAATCTAAATTATAAAATTCGACAAG